CGTTAGGCAGAGCAATAGTGCCTGGATTTTACCAAGAGGCGCACAGCGAGAGAGAGGTGGAGGCGACAATCGCCGTCGATCGGGTGAATCTTCTGCAGGCCGACGCCGCCGATTTGATCAGAGACGCATCGCTGAACGATCGCGTGGAACTTAGGGTTTTGGGCGAGGTTGGCGCGAAGATCCGCGTCTTGGAAATTGATTCTCCCGGCGTTCAGGTCCGTTTCTTTTTCTTCCCCATTTTTGTCTTATTTTATTTTAGTCATTTTCAACTTTTCTTGAAGTATTTTTTGAGCTAATGAAATTGAATCATGAATGAGCGATACTAATTGGTTAATTACTGTAAATCTAAAAGGAAAAGGAAAAGGAAAAGATAATTAGATTATAATAGTTTTGTTTGGATATTTTGAAGCAATTTATTATGCTGGTATATAATTGAGAAGTTTGCTGAGTGATTGGTTTTAGATTCTTTGTGATAAAAGGAAAATATTTGGGGACAAAATAAAAAGAAAATAAAATCTTGTGTAAGAATGTTGCACTAATAATATGGGGTACTGTTTCTTTTGACCCCACACTGAAGAAAATGTTGAAAAAGTGCTAACTGGTTATTATTAATCTTTGTTACTAACCATAGTTAAAAATTTTGACTATTAAAAAGATAAAATTATATTTTATTTTAAAACATTGTGTATATTATTAGTTTAGGTTTTTTTTTTCTCGGACAAGTTTCGTTGTGGATTCGAATTCACAACCTCTTAATTGGAAATATATGTCAATTATCGTCGAGTTATATTCGCTTTGACGAGTTTACGTTCTCTTTTAGTTCTAAAAGTTTTGGTCAAGGAAATGTTTTAGTGTTTATAATTATTGTTCCATAACCTTCGAGATTTGCTTTTTTATAATAAACATGTGTGTCAAACATTTATGGTGTGAATTAAAATGTAACATTTAAAAATTTAAGAATAATCACAAAATTTAATAATTAGAATTTAAAACTAATTTAGACATGTTTTAAGTTAATCCAAATAAACGGTTAAATTAAAATGTAGCATGCTCAACTAGGTAAAACAATAGGAAAATGTTTTCAAGTAATGGGTCGAATAATATTAAGAAAATACATCCAAATAATCCTCAAATAATCATATTAATTAATTTATATTTAATAATAATTATTAAACTGAAATTACATATAAAAAGTTAATAAATAGTCAAAAAGAAAAAAAGTCGTCCAAAGTCAAGTGAGAAAAATCGGGAAACCGTTGTTCAAGGAAACGGTGCCGATTAATTGCTTTACTTTTAAGCGGCCATTCAGGGAGGCGCCAAATTGGTGGGCCACACCGACTGAGCCAAACTACTTTTTTTTTTCAACCCTTTCACATTTGTAATTTATTTTACCTACTTTACCCTTATTCTTATCCTTCCCTATTCATCTGGGTAACATATAATTAATATGTGACATTGTTTTTAATTAGTCGAGTCCTTAAGCTATAAAATATTTTGATTTCGACTTTGAATTATGCTTATTTTTAATCCTCGATTTGATTAAATGAAAGCACAATACTCCATTTCTTAAAGTTTAAATGATATTGTATGATCTGGTAGTTTGTTTGATAGATTATAAATGAATGTTGGGTAGGATTAGATTTAGGAGTTAGCTGGGAGAAGGTAATATGACACTGGGAGAATAAAAATTTAGATAAGGTATTATTGTTGGTTTATGTAATTAGAATGAAGGGGACGATTTATCTTTGCTAGTAAAAAAAAAATAAGGATTAAGATAATCAAGTTGGATATCCGAATCATTTCACACGGATGAATAATTGGTTGGATCTTATCAAGTAACTATTGAAAAAATGGGTTAAAGTACTCTAATTATTGAAACTTATTTGAGTAGTTTTTCCAATGTTAGTAACTATGAAAAATTATTGCTCCATGTAAACCAATGGGGCCTTCATAAATGCATATAATAATAACTTGAAAATACATGAAAATTAACCCTCATGTGTCCTGTCCAAAGAGGCTATGATTAATTAAGAGGGAATGAGTTTAAAACCCACAATGACTACCTATTTTAGGAATGATGTTGTAGGGTTAGTGGCTCGGACATTCACAGATATCAAGAAAAAGACATGAAAATAAGACATGAAAATTTAGTGTTAATTCCGTTGAACTATCCTCATTTTGGTAAATAGGAGACTTTTTCTTACCTTCTTATTCGTTCTACTTTAATTGTGTTAAAGATAGCTGTATGATTCTAGGCTAATAAGAAATTAAATAGGAGCTCTTGTTTATGGGTGTGTAATCAAAATCAAAATATGAAGAAGAAATTGAAATTGGTGACAGGTGTCAGTGGATTGCTCTATAGTGATAAGTCCAAGGAATCAGTCATTGACTTCCAAGCAATGTGGATTTGATGGGTTGAGTCTATGATTCTTTGCCCCCACTTCTCTTCTGAGTGTTCTGACCAGTTTCTTCTTCTACACCATTCTCTTTCTTCTTCACTCTCTGCTATTTTATACTCAACAGAGACGGAATGATGAGAGGGAAAAAGAAAAATGTACACAAAATGAAAAAAAAAAAAAAGAACAGTGAGTAAAAGTAGCAAGCAATCCTTCTGAATCTCATCACATGGAAGGAGTCACTCAAAAGCAATGCTTTTCTGATTCCCAATATCATAAACAAAAAGAATGAGAGAATCAGAAAAGTTTATTCTTTTATATTTTGGGAAGTTTGTAATGAGTTTCATCCTCTCATTCACTTGTGCTTTTTTGTTGATCAATTCAATGTTTAGTTGATTCTTGATAATGGTTGATTTTGAACCTAATTCTTTAGTTTATAAGTGGATTGGAATTGATTTGAGTTTGGTAGAACCTATATCGGAGAAATATAACAACAGATCATGAGTCTTAGGTATAGAATAAGTTAGTATATGATTTCAGTTCTTAAATTTGTGCTTGCTTTTTACTCAACATTTTGATCTTTCTAGTTGTTGAATTCTATTTGTTTTTTCTCTTTGAATGAATGGATGAAAGGGACCTCACATATATTTTTAATACATGTGAAGGGGAGAATTTGAACTCTTGATTTTTACTTTTTTTTAAATAAATGTTTTAGCTAGTTGAACTTAGTTCAGGTTGGCGGACATCATACTATTTATTCTTTATAATTACACTATTATTTTGAGTTTAAATGTGCAGTCGGACTACGATTTTAACTTTTAATAATGATCAAAATGAAAAATAGATAAAGATTTCCAAACCAAAATTGGGCTTTTTGGGAACTCAAAGGTTAGAATGAAAAATAATACAATTTGAGGGCTAAAATTATAATTAAAGTTAATAAACCTATTGAACCAACCATTTGGTGGCAAATACCTTCCATTTGTTGAACCAAGAACTCGGCCCTTAAAACATAGTTTGTTGCACCAAAAACCCATGTGACATTCTTACAAATTTTAAGGTTCACAAAATTGATACTTACTTGATTCACCCTTCCCAGAGAGATGTGGACAAAATAATTTAGAATTAGGATCTTCTTTAAAATAAAAATTATGTTACAAATCTTTTTAATATGACTATTTCAACATTTTAAAATATTTGCATAAGGAAAAAAAAAACATCAAAAGAAGAATGTTATATCATTCCCTTAGGAACTGTTTGATTATAATTTTTTTTAGTACGGCAAATATGGGGTGTGAGACTTACCTCTAATCTTGAAAGAAAAGTAAGTAACTTTATGACTAAATTATGTTCGATTGTAACATTTTTGTAAAAATATTTGTTTATTGATTTGTTTGATTGGATTTTAAAAGTAAATACCATTGTGTTCCAAATTACTATTCATCATTTTAGGAAAGTAAAACTTCAATTCTTCTAAAAAAATCAAATAAATAAATAACTATCCTAAACTTTGGTTTCAAGTAAAAAACTATATTTGAGAATATTCTCTGAACAACCCTTTAGCATTCCTTCTCACAAATCACAAATGCTAAATCTACTTCCAAATTATTAATTAAAATAATTTCCCAAACTACTCCACTTTTGGCATAATCTTAAAAGACTACCATTTCCTTTTTATATAAAGAAAAAAAAAACCTTACCATGCATCCAAGAAGCATCTTTGAGATTCAACAACTCATATCATATCAACTTTATGGCAACTTTTGGACAAAAAAACCAATACCCTTTTCTTTTTTTTCTTTTTTTTCTTTTTACTTTATTGTCTTAACTTTTGAGAGAGAGAGAGAGGGGTAAAAAGGACTTTTGCCTTCATTCCTTTAGAAGTTTTGGAGTTGCACATGTAAGAGCTGTTATGAGGGAGATGTCCCAGTTACAAATTAACTTTTACATCAATGGCACAACAATAACAACTATTTCACTAACCTAACCCATGAAATGACAGAAGAGGAAGACAACTAATAGAGTGAAATCCAAAAGTTAAAGTGAAAGAAGAAAAAAAGAGGCATAAAAGTGGGTGTTGTTACTTTCTTTTTGCTTTCTAGCCATCATATGCATAGGGGCTTTGGATCCTTTTCTTTATTCACAAGCCAATTTGGTATCAAAGCTGCTCAAGCATATTGCAAAGGCCTGAAAAGCGGAGAGCGGATATCGATAGTCCATCGTGAACATGTCTTTACCGACCTTCCCGAACTGCAGAATGATCTTGTCGTGCTCTGGGGGGCCTGGTTGGGATGGCGTTGGAGCGCCAGCGGCTGGCTGTGTTGCTGCGATCAACTGAAAGTTCTTAACTGATGCAACGGTTACTCGCCCGCGAAAGTTGAGGCACCAACATTGCAGCTGTTCGTGCCATCTTGGGGGCTTGTTTTTCAGAACCAAAGGTCTCATCTTCCCCTCCTCCTCGCCATCCAAGGCTGCCCTTCCAATTTCTGAAAATCTAGCGCTACTGAACTCCATGGAATGATCTAGTGCTTTGGAGAACGATGCACTCCGAAAAGAGTCGTCGAGGCAGCTGGGAGGGAGGAGCTCTGGTTGGCCTGGAACGCTGCCGCCTGCATCGAGAGCTGCCACTGGTATTGAGTGCATTATACAATGCATTCTCCGGGGTCCCCGTGTGCCTAAAACGTTTAGTTCATAACTTATGTGGGCTATGTTGTAACTGCCAGTTGGGACTTTTGGCGAGACCTTTTTGGAATAAAATCTACGGCTAGTTTTCCCGGGAGGAGGAAGCGGGGCAGCAGTGTATGGAGGTTGAGTATCATAGACAATAAATTTTGTTCCAAGAAAATTCGACCTGGAAACAAACAAGAAAACTGAATCAGGAAAGAAATATCAATAAACCCTTCACATGAATACCGCGAATAATTAAAATTTCCCATAAAGATTTGACAGAAAAATAGAGCATTGGAAAGCCGCCATGAAGAACTAAACTCATAATTCAAAACTTCACCAATATTGAATCAAATTAAATCATAGAAACCAGAGAAAATGGAATGTTAGTTATCAACCTAAGTCTTGCAACTGAAAAATAAGCAGACTATATTTCTAAGCAGTTCGTGGATTGTAGTCTCACCTCAGTTTTCCGACGTAAGAGCTACTTGATCTCGAAATATTATCCGCATCCATCGAGATAATGTACTCTGTGCTAGTAGTTCTTCGCGTACGCTTTGCAGAAAGAAGAAATTTCCCATTTTCAACCAGCAGAGCTGCATGATGGAAGCACCAGAAATTATAAGCATAATAAAATGTTCAACAATATGGGACTAGCAGCAGAACAAGAGGCCAAATGATATCACAAAACATGATCATTCAGAATTTCTTCTTCACAGCAAATTGATGGAACGCAAGAAACACGTAAAGCTTCAACGTGCCTTACATCACAAACAAGTGAATGGAAGCAAGGAATATAGTTCCCATATGCTACAAACTGATATGAGGCTAATCCGTTTACGATGACAGATAAAAAACGAATATAATAAAAAGATTAGCACAAACAAAATCAAAGAAATAAACATATTTCGTACCAGGGCTAAGACACAGGTAGAGGTGGTATGTTAGGTTGGATTTATCCCTCTTAATGAAGCACTGTACAGATGTATCGCGCGGACCAGGCTATAAAATTTAAAAAGAAAAAAAGCAGTACAATGAGTATGCAACTTGTGATATTTCAGCCCAATGAACTTCTCTTCTAGATATATTAAAAGAAATGCCGTATACTGAAAAATGTACCTGCTTCAGTGATACAGGGAAGGTAAGCTTCCCACAAATTTCCGGGCCTTTAACTATCTCCTTGCACATAATCCTCCAAGAACGACATACTGCAGCACAAGCAACAACATTCCTTCGTGTGGGCCATGTGCTTTCACTCTCTTCAAGTCTACGAATGACATCATAAAGCAGCTCGGGTGGAAGACTAGCCCAGCAGCCATTCTGAACGACAGGAGGCTGGTCGTGTAGATCATTTAAGGATGATGCATTGGACTTTCCTCTATGATGGCCACTCAGCCTGACCTCAAATCCCCGTCTAGATAAGCTCCCAATGCTATCCCTCACATCACGAACTATACTTCGGAACGACATTTTACAGGAATGAAGAAACTGATGATATTAAATCTCCACACCCCTTCAACAATTCCTTGGTAGATTATATACCACTTGTCATGTGCCTATGGCTGCCAATGGATACAAAGCAAACTCATAAAAGTGCCTCAGAATCTTGTAAATGAAGGCTAAAAGATGAAATAAAAATTTCAAGAAAGGAGCCAAAAGTGAAAAGAAAAGGGATAAGTGTCTCTAAAAAGCTGCTTTAGGATGCACCATAAAGTCTAAAGAGGCAAGTTTAACAAGCATAACTCAATCAGGCTCTTTATTCTCATCTTTAGCTGTAACCAACTAGCTCTAAAAATGGAAAAGTAAGACTAACTATCCCATAAATCCCAAAAGCAAATCCATCAAAAATAATATCCTTCTAATCTTACAGAAATTACATAGATCTAAAACAAAATAGAATCTGAACCTCTCCAACCCAAATAGAAACTGAAGCCACCAGTCTCTTCCCATCCATTTATAGAGAAAAATCTAACACAATTACAAAGAAATTGCAGCAAATTACCAACAGAATGAACAAATTTGGTCAAAATTTTACATCTGGAGGAGCCTACATGACTAAATGAACTAACAGAACAAACTGGCAAGAATTAAGAAGAACCTATTTCCTGTAAATCACAAAACCAAACGATTCAGGTTGTTCATCTGTACCATTAAGCTAGAACACAAACCTGTAAAAGATGCTTCAGGCGCAATCAGGGAGCTAAAATCGGATCAAGCTCTCCAGCTCACAAGAAACGGTGAAAGATCTGCCAGTAAAAGAAAGGATGAGGAGCACAGAAATTTCAACTTTTTTTGCACAGAGACAAAAAAACGAAGCTGGGTGAGAGGGCTTTCTCATTAAAATCACAAGGGGAGAAAAAACCCCAGAAAAATTTAGGCAAAACCCATCATCAGGAAAGCTGAGAACCCAACATTTTGAGACGAAATCAGGGGGTTTCAGAATCTGGGAAAATGTTTGAAAAGTAAAAGGGGAAGGGAGTAGATTTGAAGAAGAACAGAAGTGGGGTCTGTAGACCGAACCTGAACAAAGACTGGCAGAGCTCCTTTGCCACAAAAGAAAGGGAAATCCAAAACGAAAACCAGTCAACTTTTTGGCTAAGTATCGGAGGAAACCAAGCTATGGCATGAACAACGAAATCCCAGAAATGGAAACAGAAGAAAAGAGGAAATAAATAAATAAAAGCTTGGATCAGAACATTACACCCTTTATCAGTCGTCTCAAAAAAGTCTCTCTCTCTCTCTCTCTCTCTCGTGCGGACCCCAAAGGCTCATTGAATTTAGCTCACAATCAAGGACCGAAGAAAAATAGCTACAGTGTTGTTTTCCATTCCTTTCCACCCAAGATTTATTTTTGAAGTGAAATTCCTCATCTCTTACAAAATTTCTTTTCAATCTGATTTCTGAATTAATATAATTCCACTAACAGTTCATCACCAAATGGGCATTTGACTTTTCCCGTGTAATGTCTGATGAGAGGAGAAAAAAACTTTTGGAGAGGAGTTTTGATCGGGTGCGGCTGTTCCTACTGAATCACTCTATGTGGTCAATTGTTTGTACTTTCCATTACTTGATTGCTTCTCCTCTCCCATGTGATCTTATTCCTTTTCCCTTTCTTTTCAATACATTAACCAAAATAATAATAATAATAATTTGTCTTTTCTTTTTCTTTTTTTCCTTCTTTTTAGTTTTTAGTTAAGTAATGATAATACAATTTCTTAATAATTTCATGTCTTAAAATTGTTAGTAGTATAGTAAAGTCAAAACCATTCTTTTTCCAATTAAAGGATATTTTACTTCAATTCCTAGCTTTTTCTTGCCGCATCTTTTAATTTCCATTTTTATATAATTATTTTTAAATAGAATAATGTTGGTTATACTTTTATCTGTTTTTAATTTTAAAATGAATGGACTTTAAGTATGTTAAATAAAAGTTCATAAATGAAAGTGAAAAATGATATGAATTATTATCTAGGTAACTAAATGAACAAAAGACAACAAAAAAAATCTTAATTATGAAACTTAGAATTCATTTAAAAAAAAATAAATTAGAATAAGGATTATGATGAATGGCTTGATCAAGATCGAGACTAAGATTCATGAACTCATCTATGACATATGAGACAAATGAATGTCATTCAAAACAAAAAGGTTCATATAAGGCATACCAAACAGTGCTCCTACCTATATCTAGTTGGAGACGCGAGCTTATACAGTGGTACATCATTGTCTCGTAATGACTAATGTTTCACGTCATATTACTCTCACGTAGCAATATAAAGATAACATATTATCTACCCGATTTATTTAAACAAACTAAGGTATGCTTTTGAATTCATATAGCTTAGTCAGTTAACCTTATAATCAAGTCCCAAACAAACGATTTGTCATGACGAAAGTCAACTTATGTTCTACGATCGAATGGTTGAGGAGAGAATTACTGACTTATATTCTTAAGGAAATTATAAACATTCATTCAATATCTTATACTCCATGATCGTTGTTAACAAATGGATGAATCGAGGTATACATATAAATCACCTCTAAACCTCTGTCAATGTTATGCAAGATTTTCATCCAATGCACCAACAAAAATTTAACAGACTAACATAAAACAAACTTGTGAACCGTAACAAAATATTCAAAATTATAAAATTTAGGGCAAAATATATTTTTGGTCCATGAGATTTGATGTAGGTGTCTATTTGGTCCCTGAAGTTTCAAAATGAACACTTTTGGATCCATGAGATTTAAAGTAGGTGTCAACTTGGTCCCTGGAGTTTTAAATGAACATTTTTGATCCCTTAAGTTTGAGAAATAGTTCTAAATGATTTTTTTTTACTATTAATTAACTAATATTAAAATGACGTGACAAATTGCAATTAAATTGTTTATTGTAGTTGCTGATGTGACAAATTATATTAATTAAATAATATATGTGTAGGTGATGGTGCTTTTTCCCTCATCTCCTCATCTTTTCCTCTCTCTTTTTCTTACCCTTTTCCGGTGACCACCACGTCTTTGCTGCCGCCGTCCGCCATTCATACCAGACATATATCATTTAATTAATATAATTTGCCAGATCAGCAACTACAATAAACAATTTAATTGCAATTTATCACGTTGTTATAATATTAGTTAATTAACAGTAAAAAAAAAATCAGGAACCATTTTGAACTATTTCTGAAACTTTAGGGACCAAAAGTGTTTATTTTAAAACTTCAGAGACCAAGTTGACACCTACTTTAAACCTCAAGGACTAAAAGTGCTCATTTTGAAATTTCAGGGACCAATTAGACACCTATCTCAAACCTCAGGGACTAAAAGTGTTCATTTTAAAACTTCAAGGACCAAGTAGACACCTACATCAAACGTCAGGGACCAAAAATGTATTTTGTCCTGAAATTTAAAACGAGATATGTACGCATCTATCTCCTAAAAAAAAAGGAAGAAATAAGAAATACCTACGCATCAAAACTTTTGAGAAAGAAATGGTCAAAATAACCATAATTGAATTTCAAAATTCACACATTTTAAATATTTACCTAGAGAGATTTAAAAAAAAAAAACAAAAAAACATAACAAACCACGTATGTTTGAACACGGTTGAAGTGACCAAATGCCCTTTGGTATTTTGTTATTTTTTTATTTTCTCCAAAGTTTCTGTCAATAAAATATATATTAAAAAAAAGGCACTTCATTCATCAACTAACTCCACCCTCTCCCAAGTCATCCCCCCAACTACAAATTTCATACCAACCATTGAAAAAAAAACATTTATTACCATTCTTCCATTTCTGATTTTATTTTTGATTTTTGGTCCCGGTTTATTTTGATATTTATACTTTCAATTTTTATTAATCTTAGTCAATTTCAAAAGGTCTGTATTGGTCTTGTACTCTTACAAAGTGATTATTTTGGTTTTTGATAAAAATTTTATATACAATAAAAAAATTTTTAATACAAATTTATGGTTAAATGTTAAGAAATTTGATGAGTGAAATGTCACACTAAAATTGTGATATAAAGAAATGAGATAAAAATAAAAGACGGTAAAAATGATATCTTTTTATAAGTTCATAATCTAAAATAGAAGTTTCAAAGTAGAGTAATTAAAATGAATAAACATTAAAAATTAAATATAGGACTAAAATGAATATTTTAAAAATACAATGACAGAAATAAATCAAGATCGAACCTATAAAAATAAAAAAAAGCAACAAAAATATTTAAATCTTTATTTTTCAAAAAAGCAAGAAAAAAAAAGTGGAAACTGGAAGTCAGCCTTCGGCGGGGCCACGGAAGGAAAAAGAGAGTGAGGAGAGGAAGAAATTCGTGTGCGTTAAAAACGGGTCGGACTTCGGGTAAACAGGTCGGATCTTACCGGCCGTTAGGCCCGAGTTTGACTTTGACCAATAATAATGGCAATGCCACGCTACGCAGGGATTGGTCAGTGGAAAATGAGGCACCTTCTGGGAAGCTCAGTCGCCTGCTTTACTTATTTATTGTTTTATTTATTACTTTTATTTTATTATTAGGTTAAAAAACACATTTGGTCCTTCAACTTTCACTAAACTAACAATTTAGTCCCCAAACTTTCAATAGTAACAATTTGGTCCCTGTACTTTTAAATTGATCACAATTTAGTCCCTACCGTTAAAAAATTGGTTAGATTTAACGGAAGTATGACGTGGCTTATCCATGTGTGCAAATGAAATGGCCAACTATGCAGGTTGGTTCAATCTCG